GGTAAAATTTAATTACTACTTTGCAAGTCAACTTTTCTTTCTGGTAACCGGTACCATTAATATGTCTGCATGCATGCAAGGAAGGAAGTAGCACAATGTCATTATGACTCCATGCATGCAAGTATTAAACAAGTTGGTAGTACGAGGAAATATCATTAATTTTTGCCCCGATTACTGTTAGTGGCCTTGTCCAGATGCAAAATTTATTTTTCATAATGGCCTTGTATAAGAGAATGGAGGAAGTAACATATTTTCAAATTCAAGTATTGTCATTCTACTCTATCGCAATGACATCTGCTTAGTTTGGACATCATGCTTCTGAATATTTTATGCATTGTTATTCATCGGTATGTACTCCATCCGTCTACCATACCGTGTGTTTTTACATTGAAGTGTTGTTCTACTGGTGTGTTGCAATGCCATCTTAGTTTACCCATCATACACGCATATGTTGCCTTTCTGTTTTTCTGTACCAATTCCAGCAATCATACAGTTTTACATTCAACTAGTGTTTCTTTTACTGTGTTGTCTTGTCATATCCCTAGCTCTTACATCATACTCCCTCCGTCTGGATTACATGTTGCGAAAATGGATAAAAATGATGTATCTAGAACTAAAATACGCATAGACACATCCATTTATTTCTGGATGGAGGGAATACATGTCAATATGTCATACCTTTCTATTCTTCAGTACCTATTACATATCTCTGTCGTAGCATGCTTTGTAATTGAAGTACCATTCTTCTATATAAGGCATGCAAGAGGAAGGCGGCTATGTTAGAATATCAAGGGCTACAAACAAGGTCTCTGCAAAAGATCCAAACGCCAGGAGATAGTAAACCAACTCCAGTGTTTATAGATACTGCTCCAACACAGAGAAACTCAACTCCTCGAGATAATAACCAGATTCTAGTGGCCAAAGTCAAGCAAAAATATGTCAACTCCTTGTTAAGAAGCGTGTGCGTATCCTCGCATCATGAAATTTTATTGCATTCAGATCATATTTTCTACATGTTTCTTACGCATATCTCTTTTAGAAAATAAGCTTAAAGGATATAAGACTTTCTAAACTGGGATCGTGTTCGAGGGAAATATCTTGCGGGAATTCTATGTGCTCCAATGCTGATGTAAATATATGTTGTATATCACTATATTTTTACATCAGCGTGTATTTCGTTAATCGGCGTGAATCCAACCTTCTGTATTCCACACCAATTATCCGATCTAAATTTATTTGTAGCAAAATGTATAATTAAAGGCGATAATAGATTTTTGTAAGAAAAATTGACTGGTAGTTTTACATACTGAGTTGCATGATTGTACTATCTCATATCTTTCACATTACTAAATTGAAGTGATGTGGTCTGGTTGCCCAATCATTCATTGTGTCAATGTTGCTTTCCTTACCTTACCTGGCTGATGATAGCAGTGACATATTGTGTTAATTTGATGTAGGCTGTTGTGGTCTGGTTGCACAAACATTCATTGTGTCAATATTGCTTTCCTGTTATCTGATCTAGCCAATGATAGCAATGCTACTTTGTTAATTTGGTGCAGGCTGCTCAAGATAGGAAGACAAATTCTGAAGACAGCAAGGCAACTCCATTGTTTCTCTCCAATAAATCTAGGCCAAGTAATATGGCAATAACTCTTGATTAATTTGTTCGGTTCCCCTCCTAATTTATGTTATGATGCAGTGGTCGAGACACTCTCCACTATCAATGATACAAACCTGCCAAAATCGTCATCTGAATTTGTTCACTTTCCTCTGTCTCGAATCTAAAAAAAATTGTATGTTTGTGAACCAATTACTGGCTGAAGCAATGATGGAAACCCCGGCCCAAGTAGCTTCATGGGTAACCCGGTCCTAGGCCCACTGGCCCTGTCGCGTTGTGCCTTTGACCGTCGGATCTGATCCGCATGTAATCCCCCCCCCCACTATGCCGAGTATCCTACATTGGCATTAAATGCCAGGTCGGTGAAGAGGTTCTCCGCCTGTGGGGAGGGTCACCTGCCCTCGAGACACGTGTGCTAAGGGTCGACGCTCGGGGCTCCGAGCACCAGCTTTGTGACGTCATAGCTGACGTTTTGGCGCCTTTCGATTAAATTGTCTATGGCTTTTGACGTGGTGGCGAATTGTATACCAAAGATTTGTGCTTGTGGCCTGTATTTTACCGGTCAGGCGGTAGATAATATGTTCCTTCTTCTTTTGCGCAACCAACATCCCTAGGTTTTTTATGGGACTCGTGTTCCTTCATGCTCGGGGGCATACCGGTCTTGGTTATTCCGACACCCAACTTCCTAAATGCATCTCCAACTCCATCATGAAGTTTTATGGTGTGATTGCACGAGTAAAGATGGTGTGTCTACTAGGCTCGCAAACAATTGGTCTTCATTCTTGTTGCTCTATATGCTGATCAATTCATTGATTCACTCAATGTTGCCACTTGATAATCATCACATTGTATAGCTCGGACGCGTTGTCGTGTTGTACCATAGGACGGAGGGCATGCCATTTACGTCATACGTTGTTGGATGAAACTCAAGAGGTATAGTGCGTGGGACGACATATGCGGATTCTAAGTCGAGTATTATTAAATTTGGAATCGATGAATTTGAAAGACTTGTAGAATATCCGGTTATCTCGGATGTACTAATATTTACATTTGAACTATTGTCATACTAAGGATATTTGCATGTCCTTTATGAAATGAATTGTGCTATTTTTTCTATAATTATTTTGGGTATTTCAGACTTAAGATGAAAAACATGGACGGACGTTTAGAAAATATAAGGTTGGACGGCCGGCTCCCGTATTCGTGTCCAGTCCATGTATCAGTTCAGACCAATTTCAGTAATAAATAGTGTGTCTGTTTTTGGATCGGCTGTATTTTTTGCAGCGAATGGAATGAAATTGGTAGCTGTGGCAAAGCATCATACACGACGCTGCCGCTGTCATAGGCCCACCAAATCAATTTGAATCCGGTCCGGGTCCGCATCAATGGCAGCGGCGAAGCGAAACAATTAAAACGGAGCGCAGCAATTTCCCTGGGCCGCGCTCGCTCGCCGCACAGGAGGACAGCCAAAGCTCTCGCCCTCCTCCGCCGTGTCCACGTAACACCCACGGCCGGATCGGCGCGTCGACGCCGCGGCAGAAAGCAACCGGCGGGCAGCCCGACGCCACGGGACGGCCGGACCACCGCGCGCGCGCGGGGATCGCCAAGATTAGCAGCCTGTGGACCTGCGATGCTTAGGAGTAACCACTTATCACGCCCCCAGATAAGGCATCTGCCGCCTTAATAATTCCTCGCCCGTCCGTCCGGAACTAAAAATCGTGCGCGCGGTTTCCAGAAACGCGCACCCGGCCCAGCGGCGGCGTCAGCCGGTGGTGCGACGTCGTAAGTGGCGAGACATGCCGCGCATGCACGCGCCCATGCCCGCAGGCCCAAACACGTGGTTCCGGCCGCGAGCCCACCTGGCGGTCGTAGCTTAAGAAAGCAAAGGCTTATCCTCCCGCCCGATCGCTAGCTAGCTTGTTTATAGCCGTGACATGGGGCCGTTTCCACGGGCGGATGGGACAAAGCTGCTGGCATGGCTTAAACGGGGAATTAAGTCGGCCGGAATTGGAGACTAGCTAGCCGGCCAGTTAAGCGGCACGCCACGGCAAGAAACGGCAGCCCCCGGCTCAGGTCAACTCTCCGCCACCGCGTGAGCGAGATGATCGGTCGATCATCAGGGCCGTTGATGTTGCGGCGAGGTGTGACTGAGAGTGAGTTACCGACCGGGCCGGGCCGGGGACCCGATGTGGCCGGTCATGCGTAGTAGGGAGGGGGTAGCCTATCTGCTGCCGTTCCCGACGCTTCTCCCTATCGATCGGACACCGCTGGACCGTCCAAGCGCTCGCTGTGGACTCCGGGTGGCCGGCCACATTGCTATCGAAATGGCAGTGGCCGGGGACGGGACGGGACGGGACGGAGCTCTACCACGTTTTATTCCTCCGTCATTTCGCCATGGACGGACAGCCGGCCCTACGCCCGTCCTGCTTCAGTACTTGGTGTGCATGGAGGCTTGGGAAGTGCGAGCTGGTTTATGGCTGCGTCCAAAACGTGAACCTGGAGCCGAGCGAGTGGTAGAAACGAACTGTATTATTACCACCCTCGACGTTTCCTTCGCTACACTACATGGTCGACGGACGGTAGAAACGCGACGCACAGTGTGCAGGAGGAGTGCAACAGTGAAGGTTTTGTACGCTTGCGAGCGGTGCAGGTGCTAGCACTTAATCAGGATCTGAAAATGACGGGTTGCGCACTTCGATGCTCTGGGGAAAGGCTAGCTTAGCTAGCCTTGCTTGCATCACTCGACCCGGGAAACAGTTTTTGGTCGAGAAAATAAATTTGCTTGACGCTGCATGGCCTTTCATGGATTTCAATGCACCTCCTGGAACACGAGAAGCGGGATCCTGTGTTGACCATGTTCTTGCTAGACACGAGTAACAAAAGAAAAGAGATGCAAAGACCAGATGTCACGATCAAATATTCCGAGAGAACCCCAATTTAAAAGGCGTTGGAGCCAAACCGGGTGAAAAGGGCGGGGCGGAGAGGGACGGCCAGCAAAGACACGAGCACGAAGCAAAAGAACATACTACATCACGCCTCGGCCCGGGCACACACAGATAGAGAGAGAGGAGAGGGTGGAGATCAGACAAGTGCGCGACTCGAGAGGGAGGGAGGCGGTGAACAGGAGAGAAAGCGAGTTCGCTACAGAGAGAGAAGCTAGGGAGGGAGGGAGAGGGTTACATCATCGCCTAGGCCGCTGCAGCAGCCTCCTCGGTGCAGCGGCGCGTCGTCAAAACTGGCAGCTAGCCAGATGGTGTCCACACTCTCTCCTGCGTCTCTTATCCCTTCATCCCAGTTTTAACCCTTGCTAAGCCCCTCTTAGCCCGGCCTCCCCTCGGCAACCCAGAGGCTTAGCCTGGCTAGGCACGGGCCGTCGGCGAGCATGGACTTCGACGACCACGACGACGGCGACGAGGAGATGCGGATGTCCATGCCCATGCCGGTGAGCTCCAGCTACGAGCCCCCGCCGCCGCTCTCCACGGGGTTTGGCGGCGCCGGGGTTGCGCCCAGCAAGCCTCCTGGTGGTGGTGGTGGTGGCGGTGGTGGCGAGCTTGGCGGCCGTGCCAAGGCCCCCGGCGGCGGTGCCAGGTACCGCGAGTGCCTCAAGAACCACGCGGTCGGCATCGGAGGGTACGCCGTCGACGGCTGCGGCGAGTTCATCGCCGGCGGCGAGGAGGGCAGCATCGACGCGCTCCGCTGCGCCGCGTGCAGCTGCCACCGCAACTTCCACCGGAGGGAGTCCGACTTCCCCGCGGGGGGCGAGGGCTCGCCCTTCTCTCCCACCGCAATGGTCCCCTACGGAGGCGTGCCGCCGCACCACCAGTTCTCGCCCTACTACCGCACCCCGGCGGGCTACCTGCACCACCACCAGCACCACATGGCCGCGGCCGCCGCTGCAGCCGCGGCGGGGCACCCGCGGCCGCTGGCGCTCCCGTCCACCTCCCACAGCGGGCGCGACGACGCCGACGAGCTGTCGGGCATGGCGGCGGGGCCCATGTCGGCGCTGGTCCCGCTGAGCAGCATGTCCCTGGGCGCGGGCCCGTCGGGGTACGGCTCCGGGTCCGGGTCCGGCAAGAAGCGGTTCCGCACCAAGTTCACCCAGGAGCAGAAGGACAAGATGCTGGCCTTCGCGGAGCGCGTGGGGTGGCGCATCCAGAAGCACGACGAGGCGGCCGTGCTGCAGTTCTGCGACGAGGTGGGCGTCAAGCGCCACGTCCTCAAGGTCTGGATGCACAACAACAAGCACACCCTCGGCAAGAAGCCGCCCAGCATTTGACGGACCCCGCTCCCGCTGGCCGGCCACCGTCCGCATGCAACCGCACGGCGCATCTGGCGTCCTGGGCCAGAGCCGATCGCCCCACCGTCACCGGCCGTGGCTAGCCTCCGATAGGTACCTGCATGTGCTTCTCTCGTTCATCTTAGCTAGCTACCGCATTCGCGCTTGACGACGTTCCCCTCCGCGGCTAGCGGTGCATGGCTAGCTTACATTAGGTTAATCTGTAGCGAGCGTTCCTTGGTTCTTGGCTGGATTAATTTAGGTGGTCCTCTATTTTCATTTCATTTCATTTCTATTTACTGTTGCTCATGTAACTCCTGGCTATGGCGCCACGGCCATTTGCTGATTTGGTTCTTGCTGGGGAATGTACTGCCTGATCGATCAGCTAGCTGGCGAGGAATTGTATCTGGGGATCGGGGCTGCCTGCATGGCCATGGATTCCGTGCGTGCTCCTGAGTAGGAGTAATTTTTTTCCTTTTCGTTCTTGTCGTCGCTAGCTGGAGCTGCGTGCGTCTGCGTTGGGACAATTTTACTCATGGGTCCAGGTTTGCTAGTCGCTACTACCACCTGCGTGCCATTGCCACACCTAAAGAAGATAGACAACTGTTGCATTCCGTTCTTTGCTTAGCCATTTTCCTCCCCGCCTCCTCACTCACTTCGGGCATTTGTTCGGGCACGGGGTAGCTTAATTTTGCACAGACCAATGCTTCCCATCCCCTCCATTGATCCGAGGAAAAAAAAATGAGCGCCATGATCCATGCAGCAGGACTGTAGCAGCACGCTCCATGACGTGCTCCACTGTTCTTGGCCCGATTTTTCTGTCTCTCGCCATGAATCAATGCAACCGTTCGCTCGCGTCCTGCCCCCGCATTTAACTCCCTCGTCTCGCGAGCAATGTTAAGGTTCTTCTCCTCCTCCTCCTCCTCCTTGATCAGTTCTGCCCGCATTAAGGGCCTCTGGCCCTTTCTGCCGATTTACTCGCTTCTGCCCTGCGTGCCTTTCCGTTTTTACTCCCGCCATCCATCGATCGATCAGTCGCCTTTAAAGGCTTTAATACCGGCGCAGGGGGCGCACGCGGCCGCTAGCGGCATTCATCACGGGTGGATGCGTACATGGACGGAGGGAGAGGGATGGACCGATCGGCGAGCTCCGGGACAAATTTATGGCGACGTACTTTGCCTTACGGTATGTGCATGTCAGCGCGTGTCGCTGTAGCACGGACGGAGCATATGCTGCGCTGAGCCTGAGCTGATCACGCCTCGCCGACTGGCCGGGCTGCTGCATGCGCAAGGGGAGGGAGAGGTGCGCGCAGTGCGTTCGAAAATGCAGCAACCTTTGCCCCTCTCCTCGTAAATGTCATCGTGTGACCTGGCTTTGGCTTTTGGGAGGCAGCCATGGCGATCGTCGACGTCTTCCTGTGCGCTGCACTGGTGCAACGTGGGTGGCACACGACTCATCATGTATGTACTTATGGATCGGAGTCCAGCCGCGTACGTGGTCCCGATGGACTCTTCGGTGGCACGAGATAAAAACTTTCAATGGATTTTGGAGCGAGCGCTGTAGCAGCAGCAGGGAGGAGCTAGCTTTGCATTATGAAGCCATGCCATGCTTGCTGGCTGCACGCCCCGAAAGGCGACTGTGGCATATTTCTGTTTTGGGAGAGGTAGGATAGCCTCTTCTTGCTGCAGCCTGCTGCTCCTGTTTTTCTTTTTCTTTTTTTTTTCCTATCGGTGAATCATTGCATTTGCATGTGATGTATGCCAACGTACGAGTAGTATGTATATCCCACCCCTCCACAAAGAGAAAAACGTCTACTGGTATATTCAAGGTGATGCAAACTGTTCCGCTACTCCCAAACTAAGTACACTACCACTAATATCTTTGTAGTCGATCGGGCACGAGAAGCAGTCGTTAAGCCAACTAGTTAGTAATCCCTCTGTTAAGAGCGTTTAGATCATTACTCTACGGAGGGAGTAGCAACTCTACTTTCACCTGAACCTATGACTGGCAGGTTACAATATTAATTTTTACAACGGTGGCCGCAACAGCGGTAAAAGTTGACGCACTGATTAACCGAGCACGACCAGTAAACCTGCACGGTGTGAAGGTGACACTATGAACGATTGCAAATAGTTGCAAGGACGGTAGGGAACAATTAATGCTGCTGTACTAAGGCTGTGTTTATTTTATGCCTCCATTGGTTCGGAGGAATCTTGTAGGAATTTCAAATGATAGGATTTTTATAGAAAAAATTCCTTTAGAGCCCTTTGGTTTGTAGGAATGAAATCGTATTCTTATAAAGGAATTCTTCCTATCCTTCATATTTCATAGGAAAATAAACATTAACCTAGGCTTAATAAAAAAATCCTATGATGTGAATCAAAAGGCATCTTCTTTCCTATTCCTACTCATAGAATTTGAGATACATGTCACCTCATTTCCTATGACTATTCTATTCCAATGATTTTCCTACCTTTTGAATCAAAGAAGGCCTTACTTGTGCTTTTGCACATTAACAAAAAGCCACAAAAACTTCTAAATAGGGGCTTTTTCTTCGGATTTTGGCTTATGAATTAATATTGTTATATGATGGTATAAGCCAAAAGCCGAAGCAATAAAGCACCTAGGAGTCTTTTTGTCCTTTTTTGTCAAAATGAAAAGGCTGCAAAAGCCTAAACAAATAGGGCCTAAGTTGTCCTCCTTCTTTTATCTCTGTTCTCCTCTTGTCTTCTACTCCCAAACTTCAAAGACATACTCCCTTTGTTTTTATTCTGTTCGTGTATTAGCTTTAGTCAGAGTCAAACTTTGTAAACTTTGACAAGATTTATAAACAAAAATAGTAAAATATACATTAAAAATTCAATATTATTGGATTTATTATTGAATGTACTTTCACGTCATATGGTAAATGTTTATATTTTTTTCTATGAACTTGATCAAATTTTATGAAGTTTGACTTCAGTCAAACCTAATATGCTGAGTAAATAAAAAATGAAGGGAGTATTATATTTTTGTTATGGAGGGAGTATTTTCTTACATTAGGTGTTGCACATGCACATAACATCAAGTGTTACACTTGCCTCTTGAGCGGCACGTCTACATTCGTATAGATAATAGACATAAAATTCAATTACTTGGAAGCTCTTTGTTGATGGCGTGTACTCTGCGTCCTCGGCTTACAAGGCGCAATTTGAG